GGGTTTTGTTCATTAAAATAATAAGTGGGCTGAAATACATTATTACCTTTTGTATTTGTTAATGGATTTAAACAAATGTATGGGGTCAAAAAAAAATTCTGAATGGGGGCACTATATAGATTGGGCTTTAAGTTACACAGATTTTTCTAATTTTGTTGGGTTCATTGCCCCCCTCTCATTGAACGTGGCTCCGCCACTGGTGTAGATAGACATGCTCATAAAAACTGTAAGAGTGCATAGAGCACTAGTGTCATGAGGACAATGTACGAAAGTCTTTCTAGAGAAATGGACTGGTAATATATATTTATCTTGAATGTGTGAATGTGAAAGGATACTTATAGATTATATATGGTCCAAGCGTTGGTGTTAATGGAGTTCTTCCTTGATGAGATATGATGTGAAACGTTCATACACATGTTGGTAAATCGACAGCATCATGGTCCGCGTAAAGACTCAGTCACTCAAGACAGAGCAGCCCTAATCCTAGGAGCTTCAAGTAGTATTTATGAAGCTTGGGCGTGGCTTTAGGCTTGCAGCGCATTTAATGTATGTCGCGGACCATCATCACGGATTCTTGTATACGAATGATACCTTCAAGTCAACCGTGAGGACATTATATTATACGATACAAATTAATCTAACTTAAGCTCAAGTCCAAGGCAACTGATTTTGTTGAATTTTTAATTGGGAAGACCAGGCCCATTAGTTTTGGGCCAGCAAGAGCTTTATTCTGGACCTTTCGAAAATATGCTTCGAACCGGTCGAACCAAATTACTCCAAGAAATCACCGGTTAGGGCTGTAAAACAAACGACTTAACCAGTGATTCATTTTCCAGACAGTTGACTTTTTAAGTTGTTGTCGGATACAGATCTTTCTAGCACACAAAGTGTTCGACGAAATTCCTCAGAGAGCTCCTTAGAACTTGCTGATAAATTCCCACCATGAAACTGAGACGAATCCTCGGCTCTGTTTCGCGTCTCGCTACAGAAAAGCTCTCTTCGTCTTCCTCGTATCCTTCCCGTTGCCCGTCTAGACAGATCTTCACGGCGCGGTCATCTTCTTCGCCACGAAACGTCGGAAGTAACCACTCAGAAGCGTTACCAGGAAATCACATCAAATGGGCATCGCTTGGTTCAGTCAGAAACTCGAGATTCGCATCTGGGTTCTCACCTTTGAAGCAGAAACCGTTGGATTCGATCATGGATTTGGCTAGAGCCAAAACCAAATCTCCCGAGGAGCTCACTTCGATCTGGGATGATGTAATTCAACCCTCTTTTGCTCTAAAGATTCAGTCTTTTGATGTGTTGAGTCTTTCAAATTTACTGATGGTTTCATTTTGGCAGTATCACTTGGGACGAGGTCACATTGGGATCACTATGAAAGCTCAGCTTTATCGTTTGTTGGAGCAACGAGCAACCGAGTGGTAATAATAATATCATCAGCTTTGTTCTTGTTCAGATGAATCTTAGTTCTTTTGTGTGTGTGTTTGTCTTGATTTGATCTTATTTGATGTTGCATTTGCAGCCGATACTTTGTTATTCCATTGTGGAGAGGAAATGGTTACATTACAATGTTTGCTCAAGGTTTGTTCTAGCTTTTTATCTCCTAGTTAAAATCAAACTTGTGATATTAGCAATGGTTAGTGATATTAGCATTTAGTCGAGATGGTTAGTGATATTAGTATTTAGTAATGGTCTGAGTTTTTTACTCAAAAGATTTTTTTTTATTTTTTAATTATGTCTGATTAGTGAGGACAAATGTTAAGAGACTATTAATCTCAAGAACAGCATGTCACACTGAATCTTTGTTAGATTTAGCATTTGATCTTTGAACTTAACTACAATTTTTGTGGAGCGTATTAGTTTTTGTTGTGAAACTAAGAGATTCTCCTTGGTTTATGATCTTATTATTAATAATCAATCTTGTTTGTTGTGACAGTTGAAGCGCCTCACATGATATTCACTGGTCTCGAAGACTACAAAGCGAGAGGAACTGAAGCGGCTCCTTACTTGACTACCACTTTCTACACTGAGCTTGCAGAGACGAAAGACTTGGTGTTTATCCGAGGTGATGTTGTGTTCACAAGCAAACTCACTGATGAGGAGGCGAAATGGCTCATGGAGACAGCTCAGTCGTTTTACTTGAACGACACTCGGTACAAGCTGCTCGAACGGTTCAATAAAAATACTCATGAGTTTGAGTTCAAGGATGTGTTACAAGCTCTTGATATGCCTATTCTCTGATTTGAGAATAATCAAGAAAAACAACAAAAAAACATTTTCTGATTTTTGAGTTCTTGAGATACCTTTGTATTAGAATTGCTTCTGGGAATATCAGATTCTAGAGATTTTGCTCTTCAATAAACGGTTTTGAGTGAAGGGGTCAAATCCAAAATTGGCTTTTTGTTATCCAAAATAAATATTAGGGGTCAACTTGTAAGAAACGATAAAATCAGGTGTCGGTTTATAAATTTCACATATATTGAAACGACAGCGTTTTAGTAAGATTATCACTAACATAAGCTCTTCGTCTTCAAGCTTAACGAAGAGAAACTCTCAGCTTTCTACACTCTTCCAAAGCCCACCATGTACGTTCTTCTCTTCTTCTTAATAGCTTTCCCGCCTAGTTTCTATTAGTGTACAGAGACTAGAGAGCTCATGTTTATGTCTTCTAATTTTCCTCATCTCAGACTAAGTGTATATACTCTACTTTCAGTTTTCTCGCTCTCAGCTCTCTCATCAATCCTCCGCAATGTCAGAGCACCAGTCTGAAGAATTCCAGCAAATTGAGAAGCTTTACGAGTTCAGTGAACGCCTCAACGCGTCAAAGGACAAGTCTCAGGTTTTCGTATCCTCAAATTTTTCAACTAGGGTTTTGAAATCGAGCTTTCTCTGTGATTATGTATTTGAAATCGAGAATTCTCAATTAGGGTTATCTTAAAATTGATTCCTTAGCTCAAAGTTTTCATCTTTGCTATTTGGGTTCTTAGTTTGCTTTGGTGCAAAGTTTCAAGCTTTTGATCAGTGGTATCTGACTTGATTTCTCTTTATTTGCAGAATGTTGAGGATTATGAGGGGATTATCAAGATGTCCAAGACGAGTATGAAGGCGAAGCAGCTTGCCTCGCAGCTGATTCCACGCTACTTTAAGTTCTTCCCTACTCTCTCCACTGATGCTTTCGATGCCCATGTGGATTGCCTTGAAGATGGAGATCTTGGGGTCTGTACCCTTGTCTTTTTACATATCATTAAGCGAATAGATGAACTTTAGATTAGTTTTCAAGTGCTCAAAGTTAGCTTCTTGCTCGATTTACACAGAAAACATAGTGATGAAGTAGGGTTTAGTACTTGTTCCGATAGGTTGTATACGTGTTTGAGATGTAGTGCTTCTCAGTTCCAGAGAATAGATAAAACTTAGATTAGTTTCAACTGCCCAAAATTAGTTTCTTGCTCGATTTGCACTGAAATATAGTGATGAAGCAGGGCTGAGTACTTATTCTGATAGGTGATCTACGTATTTGAGATGTGGTGCTTCTGATTTTCCAGAAGATAGGGTATTTGTTCGTGCAGTTTTTTATTTTGGGGAAGTAGCGTTTTCTCTGAGTTAAAAGCATGTGATTCCTGTAATGTATAGGTACGGGTTCAAGCTATCCGTGGGCTCCCGCTGTTCTGCAAGGATACTCCAGATATTATATCTAAGATTGTTGATGTTCTTGTCCAACTTCTAAATACTGGTAACTCTTGAGTTTTTGGTTACTACACTTTTAGATACCTCTTTGTGTCTTTCTTATCTGACTTAGAGGTAACATGGTATGCAGAGGAACCTGTGGAGCGTGATGCTGTGCATAAGGCTCTGATGTCACTGATACGACAGGATCCAAAAGGTTGTCTAATTTCTTTTACACTTGTTCTGCATGAAGATACTGATTATTTTTAATTACTATCAAGCTTCAATGAGAAAGCTGGTAAACGTGATTTTTTAGTCTCATGGTAGATAATTGGTTGCTCGTTAGTGTACGTGGTTGATCAGGCATTGGTTTAAGTACTTAAATTACTGGCTCGAGGTTTTATTGTGCTAGTTTATCTTTAATTTACAATATGCTTTCGTTATTGACTATTGGTATCTGTATTTCTATCGTTTTCTAACTATTACCCTATTTTGCAACAGCATCTTTGACTGCATTGTTTACGCATGCTGGAGTTACTCCAACTACTGACGATCAAGTTCGTGAAAAGGCCTTGAGTTTCATCAGAGATAAGGTCAGAATGTTCTTTTGTATTTTCACATCTCATTTTTTGTCACAGAAGAAATCATAGAAAAAATGTAATAGTGCTAAATATTACTGAAAATAATACAGTAAAGAGCATCGACAAAAAAAATACAGTAAAGAGTATCAGAAATGGTAATCCTTGTAGAGTAACTAGAGTTTTGGACTACCTTAGCCTGTATTCATTTATTAATCTATATGTAGGTGTTTCCTATTAAAGCAGAACTCTTAAAGCCTCAGGAGGAAATGGAAAGGCATATAACAGATTTGATTAAACAGGTAAGACCATGGTTATGTGTGTCTACAGTTCTTTTATTTCTTCTGTCTGCCTGCTTCTTTGCCATCTATTCTAACTTTTTTTTTTGGATTTCCCCAGAGCCTAGAAGATGTAACTGGAGGAGAATTTAAAATGTTTATGGATTTCCTGACAAGTCTGAGTATATTTGGAGGGAAAGCTGCTCAAGAAAGAATGCAAGAACTTGTGGAAATTATCGAAGGACAGGCTGATTTAAATGCACAATTTGATGTAAGTTTGTTGTGTTGCATCATCCTGAATATGAAGTTAAATTTATTGATTGCCTAAAACAGTAGTTGTTGTTCTGTGGGTTTACTAATGGCAAGTATTGTTTCCCAGATATCAGATACAGACCACATTGATAGGTTCATATCATGCCTACAACTGGCTCTTCCAATTTTTGCGGTACGCTTTCAGAATGGTATTCTTAGTAGCTTGATAGTTTTGCTTTACTAATTTCATCCTATTTTTTTTATTAGAGAGGTGCTCCAACCAGCAGGTTTCTGAACTATTTGAACAATCATATCATACCTGTTTTTGACAAGGTATCCTAGATTATATCTTATTAGTTCTTTATTATTTGTGTTCAGGTGTATTTGTATCAATCTACTATCCCTGTATGCTCTTATATGCATTTGTTATTGACTCTCGTAGACAGAATTAAGAATAGTTTATGACACCAAGGGTATGAACTATGAAGTAAAATCTTTAGTTTTTGTACTTATATCATCTATTTGTGTAAGTAGGGCTGCTTGTTTCTCTTTTGCCCTCTTGCATGCAAATCTCTATCACTCCATAAGAGGAGATTTCTAATATCTAACGGATTATTTTTATAATAGCTCCCAGAAGAGAGGAAGCTTGATTTGCTCAAAGCTCTAGCTGATATTTCCCCATACACAACCGCCCAGGAGGCAAGGCAGATGCTTCCTTCAATTGTTCAGCTTTTAAAGGTACCACTTTAAGTGCCATTTCTCCTCTGCCTCTTTGATTAATCATTTGTGGACATGTTACTTATATCTACAATGTCATCTTATTACAGTCTCACACTTTTGAATGTAAATGCAGTAGTAAAATCGTCTTATCAAGATTGTTCCACTATTTGTTCACAGATATACATGCCTGTCAGGAAGACTACAGAGGAAATGAACTTCACATACGTGGAGTGTTTGTTGTACGCGTTCCATCACCTGGCTTACAAGGTCTCCAACAACTGTATATGTGATTTTAATTCGGTTCTTTTTTCGTTTTCCCTGTTTAACATATTTGAATACGTTGTGATATACAGGTTCCAAATGCAACAAACAGCTTGTGTGGGTATAAGATTGTGACCGGCCAGCCATCAGACAGACTGGGGGAAGACTTTTCGGAGTTGAACAAGGACTTCACTGAAAGGTATTGTGTTACATCTAGATTTGTGCAACTTCAAAGTTCGAGAAACTGTCTTTGAAAAATTGCTGTACATGATGGTGTGTGATATCATAAAGCTTTTGTGTGCAGATTGACCACCGTTGAAGATCTAACCAAGACAACAATGAAGAAATTAACTCAGGGAATGTCTGAGCACAATAAAGCCATGTCCGCTGCTAAGACAGATGAAGAGAAGGCCACCGTTGTGAGTACATTACCCTGTAACTTCTCTGGTTTTTTTTTTCCCGGTGGTATTTGCTTTTCGGCTAATGTATTACACTTTTGTTATGATTCTTTTCCAGAAAACAAAGAAGCAGAATACTACAACTGGACTTAGGACCTGTAATAACATATTGGCAATGACAAAGGTGAACATCCCAACGTCTTAGTCTTCTTTTTCTTTTGTGTAAGCCTATAGTTTTGTTGATATAAAGTATGAACTAACTTTTGGATCAAATATGATATGAAACAGCCATTGCATGCAAAAGTGCCTTCATTTATCGGAGATACTAATATCAACCTCTCTTGGAAAGAAACCACAAAGCCATTAGCCTCAGCAACAACAACAACAACAATCGGGTTTGTTGCAAAGTTTACTCAACCAGCAATCTTTCCGTTGTCTTAATATCTGTTTGTAATTTGTGTTTGCTTTTGCTGTAACAGAGGAAAACGGCCTGCTAATAGCAACAATGGAAGTGATAACAATGGCGCAACAAAGAAGAGACGTGGTTCGAGTGGTATGCCAAACCAGCTTGTGAACAAGGCTTTTGAGGGAATATCATCTTACGGTGGTGGTGGTAGAGGCGGAAACCGAAGTCAGGGAAGACGCGGAGGTGGTCGCGGAAGAGGTCATTGGTAATGATAAGCTTCCATGAGATGATTCCATAACTGTTTCTGTTCTCGTTTTATTGTATTTTCTCTGTCAGCAGGAGTTTTGGTTTGGTACTTGCTAGAGTTTAGGGACAATGTCTTCTTTATTCGCAATGGAGAATACTGAATTAGATTTGTCCTTCATTTTTCTCATCAAATCAAAACAAAAGTTCAAGTGTTAATGACTTAAACTTGTTTAATCATGGCTGCCTCAGCTACATGAGATGAGAGACGCATTGTATGTCTCCTGTATCCAAGTTTACTTCCATGGCGCGGTATTTATAAATTTATCTGTTTAATATTTCGATGTTAGACTATTTACCCTAACATCTATCACATAGAATTCTATGTTAAATCTTCTCTGTTTGTAATTTAGTCACATGGTCCCCTACAAGAACTCTGATCAGAAAACAATAATTAAATTTAACTATGTTTTCTCCTCTTTTCAGCTGTATTTAAATACTGATGCATTATGCATATTCTGACGTTATCTGTATCAAATTGGTTTACACATTGACCTAATTAGCCAACTAGGATAAATCATATAGCTACATAGCTTTCAGAAGATTTGACTATATATGTAATAAGCAATCCCTTATATATTAATTGAGAAACATTTGAAAAGATGTAACCTCAAGTTTGTAATAATTAAAAAGTAACCTTGCTTAGTTGTCAATCAATTAGCATACCAATTAAACTGACGTGGCAGTTTTAGTATCAATTGAAATTTGCTAGAGAAAAATAATTAGAGACGCATATAACGCATGTAACATAGTTTTTATATATATATATCGCACGCATGTAATGGAAGAAAAGGAAAATATACGATTTGATAACGATTTGCATATATTAACTATAATAACTTCATTCCTTTTAATTTATGGAAGTGTATATGTAAAATGGAAATTACTTTGTGACCAAGTACATACTTAATGGTAAAGGCAAGAACGTTTATTATATGAATATATCTTTTGATNATGGAAGTGTATATGTAAAATGGAAATTACTTTGTGACCAAGTACATACTTAATGGTAAAGGCAAGAACGTTTATTATATGAATATATCTTTTGATCATTTTGACAAAACAATGAACGATATAAAGAGGCCCAATCTATTATTTATAAACGTTTAAAGCTTAAACGTTTACTATATGAACGTTTATTAAATTATTATATTAACATTTATTATAAACGTTTATTATAATAATTTATATATAATAATTATTATAAGGCAAGAACGTTTATTAAATGAATATATCTTTTGATCATTTTGATCAATAGTTTAACATTTTTATTATAAAAAGATACACATGATTATAAAACCATATGAGTAAAAAGCATCATTCAATAATAAAATATATATATATATATATATATATCAAACTATATACCATATAAGATTACATACTTATTTTAATTTCAAAAATTTCAATGAATTTTCAAGAACATTTATAAATTATAAACGTATAAAATTTTTCACATTGAAATTTTTTGTTATCAATGATTTAAATATATTCGTTCTTTCTAAAAATTCTCTATTTTTTAAAGATATTAACACAGTCGATAATATGATTATTTTTGGTATATACCATACAAACCGAATGTATGTGATTTTATAAAAACCGTAAGATTTGGATATGGTTTGATTTATAATCGATTAAACTGAAACATGTAAATATGTATATCTATTTGTTACATAAGTTGAACTATAATTATGATTTGTAAATCACTTGNATGGTTTGATTTATAATCGATTAAACTGAAACATGTAAATATGTATATCTATTTGTTACATAAGTTGAACTATAATTATGATTTGTAAATCACTTGAATCACTTGAAATATAATTAACTAACAATTTAATGCAACTGAGGCTTCTTATTTTCTTCGTCTTTTTTTAATCTTTTTTTTTTCTTTTTTTTAATAAAACTAAACTGAAGTAAAAATTATAAATTTGATGGACAACAATTAGTTGAAATTCCTTACAATTTTATTTTAATCTTTAAACAAACAGAGTTGTGTTCAATCGAAGACATATTAATTTGATGAACACTAAATATGGAAGAATATAAAAACTTTTCTTCATGCTTCTGTTTTGTTTTTATTTTCTAATTTTTTTTCAAAATTTAGAGATTTGATATTAATTCTAGATTTGATCATTTTATTAGATCATAGAAGCCTTTTTTGTTTTTAATTCTTTTAGTTAAATATATAATATATTTTTTTAGTAAATGACTTTTTGACAATATGACTCTAAATATGATCATATTATTTATTTTATAATATGTAATATAATTTCAAACTAAATAATGATGTGTTTTGGTATAAAATTGAATAAACTGAAAACCAATATATAAACCAAATCAAACTGAAGTAAATATGGATTTAGAATAATAGTTATATTTTAATAACCAAAATACGGAAACTCGATATCCAGATTGAACATTTTTAATCTAGATGAAACCGAATTTTTGTTTCATTTTCCAAAACATAATAAAAATAATAATTTCATCACGCGCAAGGCGCGGGTCTTATCCTAGTAAGATAAGTATAAGGTGACCATCATGGTACTTTCCAACGTAGAGTATGCAAAGGATATTGATGAATTAAGTATATATTTATATAATTAATGCCTAAACACTGTTTAATAACATACTTAACTGAAAGATAATCAAAAGTGAAACGTGACCATATATAAGTCTGTGAAGAATATGAAGAAGATTATAATCTTACCACCATTTCTTGTTGGCTTCGATATAATTATAGTCATCCATCTGAGAATATATATTATACACGAACGGAACAACTAGCTATATCATTTGTACATTATATCAATCAAATATATTACAACTAACAAAAATAAAAACTCTATATAAATTAACATATATAATTAAATATCAACTATACTATAGTTTCTAAAACCTTATCGCCAGTGCTAGCCGTCGGCTCAGCCATTCTACGACACACAGGACAAGTTACGTGTGTTTCAAGCCACCTACCAATACATTCCTCATCAAACATATGATTACAATTCGGTAAAACCTTAATTACCGCATTCTTCGGGATTAACCCTAAGCAAACCGGACACTCCATCTCTTGATTGTTACTCTCGAGATCATTATTATCTGGTTGGTAAGAAAACGTCGGAAAGGTGGCAATCACGGAAGCGCTAAGCCCTTGGCCCGTTGGTTCTCTTCTGTGGTGATGGTCGTCTTCTGTTTCCGGTGATACATCCACAAACCTACGGAGTTTGAGGAAACACATACATAGAAAGATGAAGATAACGGAGACAATCAAAGGAGACGTTACGACGGCGAACCAAAGGATGAAGGACTGTAACAAAGGGTCGTTGGAACCCATAGCAAATTTGATCTATACCAAAATGGTTCTCAAAGTTTAGTAATGATACAAATAAAATCAAATGACATATACATGTACACTATTTATCTATAGATCATTGAGAATTGACATTCTCTTATAATATATTTGGATAAAGCGTTGAAATACGAATCACACGACTAATGAACTTGATAACATTATCAGTTTAATAAAAGAACATGGTTCATTTGAATCGGTACACCAAAAATAAGATTAGTTTAAAGACTTTAGTTTTCTGCTTGTGGGGATCTGTTTGAATATAGAATAACTTATACATAGAATGTGTAGAGAAAATGCTAAATGGATGAGGATACGTACGAAGTCATAGTTGATGGGATTTTAACTATTTGTATGTCTGAAAAGACATAAAGATTAAAGAAATCAGTAATCACTACCAAAGTATTAGAGGGATGGGCCAGTATTACTTATACGAGTTTACATAAAAAAAATATTACTAACATACAAATCTATACTTGTGGGGACAGTTTTTTGGCTAATTTGTTCTTATAGTTTTAAATATGTTAGTTTGGAGTTTCTGCCTCACAAAGGTTTTAAGAAATGGTTGGATCATTAAAAAAATGAGAAAGTAAGAAAGTTGATTTCACAGTTGTAAGATGTTAAGATCTTTGAAGATAAGTACGGTAATACTTATATTTCAAAAAAATGATGATAAAAGTGTAAGAATTGTGGGAGAATTTCCCTTGCATATATGGAAAGATACAACCAAACTAAATTTCCTATAATTAATAACACCACATTAGTATCTTTTTAAAATATTCCTTGATCCAATTGTTTAGGTAGTGTTTACAAATTAGAGGGGGTGATTGGTAAGTGATGTGAATGTTTTCTACATCTTCTTATTTTTACAGCCACTTTAGTTTAACAATTATGCTTTAAACAAAATTAATTAAAGCAACAGCCCCAAAATTAAAATAGAAAACAATATAGTTTTTAAAATCAGTTTTTAGTGTTGTGAAAATTATTAATAGAAATCTAGAGGACTAGAATAATAAAATCTACAGCTATAGCAATAAAATTTATAGCTATTATTCTAAAGTCAAAATAATAAAAGCTACACTTGCCAATCACCCCAGAGTTATCCAAATAGGCTGGGTCAGGTCTTGTTGAAAAGCTTGTTTGACAACCCAATATAGTATGTACAAATGACCAAACTCAACCTACAAATGTTTAGAAAGCCCAATACATTGTCTAATTTTTTATATTCAGAAATAGAACAATATTTTCATCAGGAGTAGGTACAAACCACATATGTGGTGGATGAGCTGCTCCTGAGTATCCAGATAAGTTTGCCTTAATTATTGGATCATTTCATAATTCCTTTTAAAAAGTTTCATTAATTAAATTTGTTTCTTGTCTGTAGAAGATATATCAAAATTTGGTAGGTGCAATCAATTGATTTTGGAAACTTCGGACCCCTCGGCCGAAGTCAAATGAGTCTGCTATAACCACTGCTTTTGTTGTCAATCATTCTGCTGGTAATCAGACCGACCAACCACTTAAAAACAACATTTGATATCAAATATAATATTATTATGAAAATTACATATACAAAAACAGCTTAAAAAGTGACAAAATATAAGTACAAATGACGTGATTTAGTCATTTCTTTTTTATGCACTTCTCAAGTCATAACTAATAATCCATTTGACTCCTAACCATAATAGTTTTCTTTGTTTTTGTAACTTTTCAAAAGTCACGTTTGATAACTAGTAATTAATATGCCACCACTGCTTTCAAATTATAAATGCAGAGGTGTGTATATATACACTAGTCATCAAACTTCGAAACAGTGCCATGAACTTATGACATGTTTAGCAAAAATAAAGTACTCCGTGGTGATCAGAAACTCTTCGTGACAATATGATTTTTATTTTGGCTTTTGGTAACTTTAAATAGACGGTAAGACAACGTGATAGAAAAAGATCCCACCTGACAAATCTTGATTCCTAGTAGCAGTAGTTGGTGTGACACTGTGACATTTTAATTAGCTTAATCACTGATTATAATTTTTTTTTTTGTTTACAAATAAAAATAAAAATGTGATTCCAGCTTGAAAATAATATTCTCCACAAGTCACGACGCCGTAATGATTTTCCCTTTATATAAGTACACCTTTACTTCTTCCTTACTACAGGCACCGAGAAAAAACACCCACCCTTTTTATCAACAAAATCTCTGTTCTGTTTTTTTGTTTGTTCTCTCTGCTTCAGTATTCTTCAAGTTCACGGCTACCACAGGTATTCAGAATGTTACCTCTCGGCTTAAACTAAGGTTTCTAGATATATCTTTAGCTTTGAAAAAATGGAATGTTCATTACTGGTTTCAATGGCTTGTAGATTGGATCTGGAGAGAAGTCAAAATTGTGGTTTTAATTAGAGAAATATTCAGTTTCATTGCTGTTCTTACTCATTTATAGTGTTGGGTTTAGTAAAGTTCGAACCTTTTCACGATTTTATTTCCTCTAATAGCCATTTAGATTGTTTTTCACTCTCTTCTGCAGCTGAATCTAATTTTCTTTTGGGTACTTATTAGTTGGTTTTGAGTTGTATATGAGTAGTGAGTACAAGAACCAGGGTTCAGTAAATAGAGTAAAGATCCAATTTTTGTGTAAGCACATAAGAGCTTCTCTTGAGTAGTAGAGATTTTTAGAGAGGCAGATGCAAGATGCAGTTTTTGTATGGTGCTTGTAGACTAGTGCAATTTACAAGAGCACTGGTAAATTGTCTTATTATCATTCAGCTGTTTTGAAGCATAATACTTTGTTTCCATCTCAGGTTTAAAGCAACAAAAGGTGTTTAGTCTGTCTGAGATGGGTTCTGGGAATTTTTTTAAGGCAATAATTGGATCTAAGAAAGGGACAAAAACTAGCACCAAGAGCAAGAAGGTAGGTTTCATATTTGGTGTGATCATCAATACAGATGAGTTCTATTTTTATAATAAATGTTTCACTTGGCCTTCATTGTGACCAGGGGCTTTCTGCTGGTTTGAAATCAAAAGCTTCCAAGAAGAAGGGTACTCATGCTTCATCACTAGTGGTTCGTAGTGAGGATTGGGCTGCAACTCGAATTCAGTCTGCTTTTAAAGCCTATAAGGTACATTGAGTTGTGAATATTACATTGACATTGAGATATAATCAGCTACTTAGTTTTGTTACTTTTCTCACAGACTAGAAAAATGTTACGGCGTCTAAAAGGGATTGAAAGAGCAAAGATGTTAACTGAGAAACATCCAGTGAAGAAGCAAGCGGCGGTTACATTGAAGTATCTTCACTCATGGAGTAAAATACAGTCGCAGATAAAGGCTCGCCGAGTTTGCATGGTCATGGAAAGCCGACTGATGCATAAAAGATTAGAGAATCAGCAGAAGCTTGAAGCTAAGCTTCACGATGTTGAGGTAAGAAGACTCTGTCATTGTTCACCTATATTCTAAACCTTTGTGTTTCTCACAAACTCTCTTGAGAAGTTTAAAGCTCAGGCTGAGTTTGATCATCCTTAAAACAAGAGATCATCAATTGCAGGTTGAATGGAATGGTGGGGCAGAGACAAAAGATGAAATCTTAGGGAGGATACATCAAAGGGAAGAAGCAACGATCAAGCGGGAAAGAGCCTTGGCTTATGCCTTCTCCCATCAGGTATATATATATATTTTTAAAATCTGTTGTTTCCTTGTTTGCTGTGCTTTCTAAATGAAGAAATAAAAGTTTTAATCCTTTGCCATGAACAGTGGAAAGCAGATGGTAAGACTCAGTGGCTGGGGGGTTATGAGCTGGGCAATACTAATTGGGGTTGGAGCTGGAAAGAGCGTTGGATTGCTGTTAGGCCTTGGGAAGTAAGATATTCTTTGACTCTTAAGAAACCAAAGAGCTCAAAGACAGTTTCTTGCAAGAGTGAAACCAAATCAAACTCACCAGCAAAGAGATTATCATCAGTTTCAGCCAAAGCTCCATCTTCTGGAGCTAAAAACGCAGTGAAACCAAGGAGATTGTCATTTCCAGGCGCCTGAATGAGCATATTGAGTAAACACAACGTACTTTTTTATTTACAAGAGGAATGAGACTCCAAGATTTGATGTGGTATATTTATTTTGATCTGTGTTCTGTTCTGTCTCTGCTGTGATGTAATGTAAATACATGTAGGAGATGATGTTTGATTCTTGGTTTGTTTTCAATATATTGCAATAGTTTTGTCTTCACAGTAATCCCAAGCTTTGCCCAATTACGACAATCTTGGTTTGTTGTACATGTTGATTGGATGATTGGTGGACCTTTAAAGTTTTTATCTTTTTATAATAATTAAAAGAAAAAACACTCAGACCAAACCGGGACAGAGTTGAGATAAGGATCAGACCAGAGTTGCCTACTTTAATGTCATTGGCAAAAAAAGAAAAAGAAATTGTATATCAAAACCCTTCTCGACAAGTGTGATTCATGGAGTCTGGATCATCCAAACTCTTCTCCTTGGCGCAGCAGCTTCGTGTATACAAGCCGCCGCTCAACGAGGCGGAAGAGAGCACAGGGAAACTGAGATCTCACTCTATGTCTCCGGAGAAGAAAGCAGCTGTCTTGATCTGTCTCTTCGAAGGAGAGGAAGGTGATTTGCGTGTTATCCTCACTAAGAGGTCTTCCGGATTGTCTACTCACTCAGGTTTGTACTTTTGCTTTTTTCTAAATTTCATCACTTTAATTTTTTTTTTATTGAAAGGTCTCGCCTTTAGAGTCATATCTCTAACTGTTCGAAACCTTTGGATTAATGTGTGTTTTTTG